CCCCCCGCCGTAACGGACCCACAGGCTTGGTCTCGGACTCGTTGATTTATTCGGTCAAGCACTCTTCCCTTTAGTTGAATAACTTGACTTCCCTTCTATGCCGCCTCCTGAGATCGTCTCCCTGTCCTGGCTTTGTTGAAGGTACTCGACTGTCTACAAGGTATATAGACCGTATTCCGAAACGGGTTTGCGATTGGCAAATTTTCACAGCAGCTACTCCTGAGCAGAAGGCGATGTGGATATGCAACAGCAGAGACGGGATGAAATTATGCGCAAAGACGAGTGTGCGAGAGTCTATCTAACGGCAGGCTCGTGCTCGAAGTAACCTACATGCATCTAACCTTTAACCTTAATTCCCGCCCGATTTGGTCAGAAACGCCCGTAGCCTGTCTCCTAATCATGATCGTAGATTCGTAGTATACTCCCCTGAATCGGTTCTTAACGTCTGTAGCATGTCTCTTAATTAATCAAAGGCGTACTATGCTCACAGGAAGGATGACTTCAGTACCGTTACTCCGACACATCCCTTCCAGTAATCCTTTTGCCCCCGCTGCTTCGCACCATGATGCGCTTCCCTCGAGTTTGAAAGGGTTTATAATTGACAAATCGCCAGTAAGACTTATTCCATATAGGACAAGTTTCACGGAACTGATCGCAGATGCCTCGCGGACTCAAGCCCATCTCCGAATTCACGAAAGAGAAATTCACCCCCCCCCCCCCCCCCCCCCCCCCCCCCCCCCCCCCCCCCCCCCCCCCCCCTCTCTCTCTCTCTCTCTCTCTCTCTCTCTCTCACGCGCGCGCGCCCCTCCCAAGTTACAGAAACCTACGCCTTCCGTTGCAACGCTTGTTCCTGGACTAGTTATATACATCCACTACAACTCCTGGACAAGTTACAGAAACCTACGCCTTCGTCACTACTTGCGTAGTGTAGTGGTGGGATCAGACCCTTACACTCTGTGGAGGAGGGCATGCCCACACAATGCATAATGTATGAACCCGCTGTTTTGGCCTAAGTTCAGTTTCAATTTTTTTTGTCCTTTTCCTTCTTCCGTGGACCTGTCACCCTTGCTGTAACGCCCTCACTGAGGGCATACTCATACAACGACTTTAGGCTTGGTATCTACCTCGTATCACGTCCAGAGGGGTGTTTTTTTTTTTTTTTTTTTTTTTTTTTTTTTTGTTTTTTTTTTTTTTTTTTTTTTTTTTTTTTTTTTTTTTGGTCGTTTTTCCAAAACGAGGCGGTGCTTTTTCATATTTTCTTTTTCAGGAGAGTACCAGAAAAGAAACAAAACGGAACCCAGGCTCGGACAGGGAAAATCAGGTTCGGCAAAAACAGGCTCGGAGGTAGTGGTGGTCCTGGAAAAAGAAACTGACCGGCCCTTTTTTTTCTTTTTTTTTTTTGAAAAACCAGTTTATGTATTTATTTTAACCTGAGCATGGTGTCCCTTCAAAAGTTAATCAGTGGGTTCCCCTCCGAGAAAGGCATCATCGTTCAGGCATTTGGGCTCGGACAGGGAAAATCAGGTTCGGCAAAAACAGGCTCGGAGGTAGTGGTGGTCCTGGAAAAAGAAACTGACCGGCCCTTTTTTTTCTTTTATTTTTTGAAAAAACAGTTTATGTATTTATTTTAAACTGGGCATGGTGTCCCTTACAAAAGTTAATCAGTGGGTTCCCCTCCGAGAAAGGCATCATCGTTCAGGAATTTGGGTTCGGCCGTTCGGTCTGGGCCCTGCTTGTAAAGGTATTAGCCCCGACAGTGTGACCTGGGGCCGAAGTACAAAAGGCCCGGCCTTAGGGGCCTGTGTGGCAGGCCCTGGCATGCTACACTGCAACTCAATGAGTCTCTCAAATTATAACTGTCCCTCACAATAGCCTAAAACGAATCTGCCAAGATGTCGTGTCCAAGTCCGTTCATAGCCCTAAAATAGTTCCAATTTGCTGTTCTCACTCTCTCTCTCTCTCTCTCTCTCTCTCTCTCTCTCTCTCTCTCTCTGTGACAGAAAAAGTGCATGCCACGTTTGGGGATAGTCCACAAATAGTTTCAAGTGCTCTCACTCTCTCTGTGGCAAAAGAAGTGCATGCCACATTCACACAAAAGGAAATTCTTAACTAATATGTCACGCTTTGCTAAGGCACGAATTATTCTACAGAAAGTTAGTGCCATTTTGTCCAAGTTGCTGGGCAAAAAGCCCCCATCTGACCTATGTAACTGTTTGAATGCCTCGAACGCGCGTTCGCGTTCAAATTCGCATTTGAACGGGACTCAAATTCGTGTTCACATTCGAACAGCGTTCAGTTTTTTTTTTTTTTTTTTTTTTTTTTAAANTCTCTCTCTCTCTCTCTCTCTCTCTCTCTCTCTCTCTCTCTCTCTCTCTCTCTCTCTCTCTCTCTGGCTCTCTCTCTCTCTCTCTCTCTCTCTCTCTCTCTCCCCCCAGCACAGCGCGTCTGAACGCTGTAGGCAGCGTGCTTTTTTTTTTTGTTTTTTTTTTTTGACAAACTGCGGATTCAGTGCGGAATTCAACACCGCTTTTGGTCCAGTTCATTGAACTCGCGTTCATTCCGTTCAAAAATTGAGCGGAAAACCCGCGTTCAATGAGCACGCCGTTTCTCACTACCTGACAATACTGAACAAAAATGGACATGGAACATTCCCCGACATGACACCTCACCTTTACGTCCTTTCTTACATACACTAAAAATCCTACAGTGCAAAGAAAAGACAGAAAAACTGAACATGAAGCACACAATTTACCCAACGACAGTACAAAAAGTGCAAAGATTACCAAAATTAAGGGGTTGATTGGCAATAAGCTCTGGAATGGTACACTGACCCCACCATGACCCCAGACTTAATTTCGTGCAGAAATGGGTAGGAGCCAGGTCCTAGCTCCGCACCCCATTGATTATCAGCCGAGTCCTCAGGGCCCAGGCGCATAAAGAGTGACTTTACTCCATACCAGTATCTAGTTCCGAAATGCAACAATTGTTAAAGAGCGTTTTTTAGGGCCGGTAGGGGCTATGGGGTAGGGGGAGGAAGGATTCTGTTAAGAAAATCATGAAAAAGGCTGGAATCCTCACAAACAACCCAGAAATAGAGACCCTGGGACCAAAAGAACATTTTTTACTAACCCTGGACATATTTGCCATCGGAAGAAGGGGAGAGAGGGAGAGAAAGAGGTGGCGGTAGCGGGCGGCGAGAGACTCTCACCTGGGCCTGTACCGGTGGCCTTGACAATTTGGGTTCCTAGGGGCAGTGGCGGCGGCGGGAGACTCTCATTTGGGGCGGTATACTTGACAATTTGGAAAAGATGCATGCAGGCGGAAATTGTTTAACCCCCATTTGGAAGAGAGCCACCCAACAAAGTCCTTATGTGTGTGTGCCAAGATGCATGCAGGAGGAAGTTCAACCCTCATTTGGAAGAGATCCAGCCAACAAAGTCCTTATGTGTGTGTGCCCTGAATGACGATGAGAAAGGCAATAAGATGTGGGGTCAGACATCTCCCCGCCTATCATTCATACTATTAATATTCGTGCTATTATCGTTATTATTGTTATTATTGTGATATTATGATATTATCATTATAATTATGATTATTATTAGTAGGGGAAAATGTTGAAATACCCTTAAAAGTTGGGGTGTTTTGTTAGATACCCCTTGAATACAGGGGTATGCTGAAATGCCCCAAACTTCTGCATCGGCCCTGGATCCGCTCATCGACAACTTTTCCATATGCCCTGGGCCTGGGCTGCAAAAGCTCGTGCATTTCTTTTGGGGGTAATTGCAGAAATAGCGCGTTTTTTTTGAAGTTTCGCAGCAGAAGTGTTGAACGGGTCCGAAAGATCTTTTTTTTTTGCAAGGAAAGAGGGACCCCGCCTGCAAATATTTTTGCAACCTTTGAAACTACAGGGACCTCTAAAGCTGCAACGAAAGATATTGCAACCAAACCTGGGCCCTGCCAATATTTTTGCTGTGAAGCTACCGCAATGGACATTTTTGAAACTTACCCTTTCTTTTGCCATCTGCAGGGTCCAACGACCAGAAATACAGGGGCGTGTATAATGCACGGGATGACAGGTCCAATTGGTGGGTGGGGTATTTCGCGAAGTTCCACTACTGTCATAGGGGCAGTTCGCCACACCCATGCCTTTTTTAGGGGTATCTGACAAAATACCCCAACTTTCAGGGGCATTTCAACAAGTTTCCTTTATTATTATTATTATCATTATGTTTCCATCACAAACCTTGCTGCATTCCATGACAAAGCAACCAATCTAGGACCAAAGGCCCTCCGTTTTTCCCCCCAATACAACGTACGGTCATCATAGCTGTATTTGGGGTGTCTTTCAGTCTAAATACAGCTATAATGACCGTACGTTGTAGTCGGGGGAAGAAGGTAGCCCGGCTGGCACACCCTTCCAACTGTTGAAAGTCAGACCAGGGGCCAGGTCCCATTAGCTTGGATTCTTCATTTCTGGCCTTCGATCTTCGTAATCTAGGGTCACAAATGAAGAATTAGGGTAAGTGGGACTTGGCCCCAGGTCCTGTGCTTGAGTCCCCAAGGAACAGCATTCATAGGCTGAACAATCAATCTGGAGACTAGAATCCCGATGGGCGGACGCTCTCCAGCTTAGAAAAGGCTCCCACGGGCTCGTCAGCAGAGTTGCTACGTCCACGAAATCACAGCTGAGGAAGGAAACACTTCTTTCGCAAATTTGTTTTGTGATGCAATCTCACAAAGGTTCCGTTGTACACCGACTCATCAGTGCTTTGGATCAGTTGATTTCCGGTCGGGGGTACATCCGTCAAAATTGGCTTGATCCAGAGCTTGAAAATGCAGTTGAGGCAAAAAGGCCGGTAAATTATGGTGAATGTATATAACCTAGGTTTCGGGACAGGTGGGGTCACATGGGCGTGTGTTGTGTTTGCGGAATTTCCTGAAGTGCATTTTCAAACTGTTTTCGTGACTGCGCCCAAGTTACCCCAAAAAGAAAAGAAAAGGGGCAACGGCTCGTGGGTCACAACCCACGTTTTGAATGGGCAAAAAAAACAGTCGTCCGCAGGTCCATCCCGACCATAGTTCAAAACGGCAGTAATAACACTTAATGGGAACATCCTCGTCGTCCAAGTTCACATCGGCAAAAAAAACATCA